GGTTCATGAAAAGCTCAGCTTGGCTTTGTTTAAATCAAGCTTCGAACTAAGCTCGAGCCCAATTTACAAGCTTGTTTGCTAATTGAGTCGAGCTCAAGCCTAATAAAGCTCGGCTCGTAAGGCTCACAAGCCTAATCAATCTTCTACATACATACATACATATATAATATTTTATTTTCATATATAATAATAACTAATTATTATAATTATTGATTTTTTAAATATCAAATAAAAAATAAATTATATATAATATTTTTACTTTTATAAAGCATTTGACTCACAATCGAGCTCAAGCTTATGAACTTTTGACTTGAGCCGAACTCAAGCTCAAGTCTCTAGCTCAAACCAAGCTTGAGCTCGAGATTGAGCTTGAGCCTCATACTGTATTGGCTCGAATCCACCCCTAGTCTCCAAGGCTGGTTAGAACTAGGGTTTTGGGAGCAAGAGAGAAGAGAAAGAGTATAGAGAATGCATAGTCCGATCTCTACCTCTTCACCCTATATATAGACCTCTCTTCTAATTAGATTAGGTGTTGATCCAAATCTGATTTGAATTAGGACTTAATCCTTCTAATAGAATGGAGCTCCATACCCATATTCGATCCATATCGTCATGTGGCATCATTAACTAGTCTTACTAGTAATGGGTTGTTGAGGCCCATTTTCTTTAGTGATTCACATACATAAGTGTTGCAAGGCTTCTTAGGCCTGAATATTGTATGGCGTGGGACCTACAAAGGTCTTGCATAAGTTCATATAGGTTCAGCCCATGTCTAGAAAGAGAAAGGCTGAATTCACTGCACAATGGTAGTAAACCCCTGAGCTAATCAAGTTGGGCTTAGTTTGGGCCCAACACTTAAGTATAAGTGATCATTGGTTTTAGTCATCCTATGAAGCCCAAGGATAATGGGCTAATATGAGATAAAACCCATTAGTTTACAAGCCCTATAACGGTCTCTTGCCCTTAACCTCTTACCCCTAAATAATCAAAACACTACTCATAGGGAAAGATCTCTTCCCTAACTACATAATGTAACCCTCTACTTAGATGGATCCCGGAATTAAAACCTTTTACAAACATTTTTCACAAAATAACATAATATAAGTATAAATATGCTTTACAAAACCAATTCCAAATATAGTTGAAATCCACTACGGGTAGTTTTAGGTTTCCATGAGAGAGAGTGTAAAATCCCGATATTCACTTTGTCTAACAAAGGTGTTGATCCTATCATTATGATCACCCACTCAGGTAATATCTTAAACTAATCCAACATACCCAAGTATTTGACCCTAAGTGGATTTCACTAGTTGGCATATAAAAAATGCAGTTCGGTCTAACACCTAGTGTAATATCATAATCAAGTATGGGGTGAAGTGCAACATTCTAATTTACCCATCTATGTCCAAGGTCTAGGGCATGATTGGAAATTGGTTAAAGTTTAATGCTTCTCACAAACATTTGTTGGTTGTGATTGGGGTCTAACCCTAGTAGCTAACACAAGTTGCTCTACTAATTCAACAACACGTCAATGTCGACTTTGGTAGGATAAATTTCCCTAGTTTATCCAATGGTTGAGAATTTTCTAAACTAATACAAGTCTCATAGGGTTCCAATTTAAGGAATAATTCACAAAAGCATACCAATCCAAACATTAAATAATAATGTACTGATATTATTAATAGATAAAAGTTAGTGTACATCAATCTCATTGGAGCTAAGGGCATACATTGTCTAACAAAAATCACCACCACACTTAAAGTAAAGAGAAAAATACCACCCCTCACTAGAGCTCGCCCCAATTTACAACCAATAAGAAAAATGAATAATAGAAACTAAACTCTAAAATACACCATTCAAGCAAAAAACCAAACCAAAAACAAAATAACAAAAGAGAAAACTACTCAATAGTCAACATTTTGAAACAAAAATGAAATTCACAAACAAAAACAAAAAATAGAAAAAAACATAATAACAAAAGAAAAAAATGTTAAAATTAGTAGACAATCAACGTGGAGACAAACCAAAAAAATAAGTAAGAACAAACAAATTTGATAGAACTGAGCTAATCAAAATCAATAGACCATTAGGGTACTCAATTGGAGACCATATCTACTAGTAGAAGCATGAAGATTGAGTTCAAAAAACCAAGAAAGTAAGTTAGAAAAAACATAAAAACAAAAGTAAAAACTATTCAATCTTCTAAAATAAAACTGAAATTCACAAACAAAAACAAAAAAAAAAGTTAGAAAAAATCGGAGGAAGAACCCTAGAAAAAAATAGAAAACAAACATGCAAGAACAAAAATTGGAAGAATAACCCTAAAGAAAAAAACAACTATAAAACCCTAATTACAAGAACAAACTATATTTCCATCGAAAAAACCTACAAAAAAGTAAAAAATGAAGAAAGAGGGGAGAATGAATAGAGAGGGAAAAGAGTAGAGGTGTAAAACGGGCCGTGACGGGCCAGCACGACATGACCTGCCTGTGTCCCACGCAAAGTGCAGGCTGGGTCGTGCCAGCCCGCGGGCCGTGCTGCCACCCCCAAGGATAATTTGGGGGGGAGTGTCATCCTGGCACTGCCCCAAGCCCGTGTGGGCCCATGCCGTGCTATGTCGTGTTCCTGGGCCAGGTAGGCTATAGGTCGTGTTGGGTTGGGCCACAGGTCGGGCCTTGGGCATGGGCCGAACCGGGCCAGACTGGTTTTTTTTTACATTTTTGATTTTTTATTTATTTTCTAAGTAAAACTAAAATATATAACTTTCCTTTGTGAACTATTTGAAAAAATAAGAAATCTAACAAAGGAATGAAAAAAATACTTAACCGAATAAGAAGTTAAAGAGACAAAGACTCAAAGCGAATAATAAATTGGAAGAAAAATAGGAATTTTATTTCATTTAAATTTGAATGATACAAAGCATACAATGGTTGGATGAATGAAATATGAAAATTGGAAAATTGAATAAATTAATAAAATATAAAAAATACAATATAGTTACAAATTGAAAATAAAAAATTACGTTATTAAAAAATACCAAATAAAATTAAAACAAAATTTACAATAATTTGAAAAATGCTATACAACTATTGAGTATACAAAAAATATTGTAAAGTTATTTCACTTTACCCAAAACGACCCCCAAACTAGTTGTTAGATAGCTGTTGAGGGGCATTTGTGTCATTATTTCTCCCCCCAAAACCAAAATGCGTAAATACCCCCTATATAGTTGTTTATAGTTATTTGGGGGTATTTCTGTAAAAAAAACCCCCAAAAAACTAAAACTAGCCATTGGGACCTCCCCCAATGGTCAGTTCATCGGGCGGGCCGAACGTAGCCTACTACAGGCCTATAGGCTAGGCTGTGCTGACATGTAGGCCATGGGCGGCATGACACAGCCTGTGCACTTAGAACCCCAGGCCCAACACGACCTTGACCATCGTACCAGGCCTAGTACGACCCATATGCCGTCATGCCGAGTTGTGGGCAGCACGACCAGTTTTACACCTCTAGAAAATAGAGTAGAAAACTATGAACTAAATCGACAGAAAACCAAGGGGGCAAGAAAGAATAGAAAGGGGAGAATAAGTAGAGAGGAAAAAGAATATAAGAGCAAAAAACAAAAGGGGGGGGGGGAGAAGAGGGCAGGTTCTAAGACAAAAGGGAAGGGGGAAATACATGGAAAGGCATGGAAAAAGAAGCTCTAAAGAAGTATACAATACATGTCAACCCAAGCACCATGCATTCAGACTAGAATTAGCGACCATATACACCCTAGGCAATTTAAGAAAATAGTTGTTTAGTCTGGATCACCTGCTAACAAAAGACTTCCAAAGCCCTATCAACATCATCTCATACCACACATCTCATGCAATGTCCTACTTTTATGGCGACTCCCAATTTTATAGGAGTTTGGCTTCCATCAAGGTAATGCTCATTCGAGCAGCGTTTATAGCCTTCAATCGAAAGTATCTTTCTCCTCATGTTGTTGGGGAGATATTCACGATACAAAACCATGAATGTAATGTAATTATTGTAAATATTTAAATGTTTTCCAATTCAATTGAGGATATTTAATTATAAATGGATGAATTCACATCTCCGCCCCACAACGTCCCACAGCACATTCCCGCCATCAATTGGGAACATCTCACAACGGAGATGTGCTGTGGGACGTTGTGGGGCGGAGATGTGAACTCTAAATGGATTGAATTTTGATCGCATTAATGGATTCAAAGCCGGACAAATGGATAGCAAGTGCAATCATATACACCGGTCCTAGAAGAGATGGTAATATCAAATAAATGGTTCTATCTGATAAATGCCCATGAAACCAAATACAACCTAAATTTGGTGTGTTTCTTTACATGGAAAAATAGATCAATGTTTCTAAAAAACAGATTAGTAACGTCTTTAATTTTTGTCTTAATTCTTAAAGTTATCGGCCACATGTACAAGCGATTAGCTTTTGTAGAGGTGCATCCAATAAGGGGAGACGGGATTGATAGTGGACAGTCCTAGCAATTGAGTGAGTCGGGTTCGGGTTGGGTCAAGACACCTTGGGTTGATTTTGGGTTGGGTTGTCAAATGCTACACCCTAACCCTAAAGGTTCAGGTTAGAATTGACCCATGGATCAATTCGGGTCATCACAAAAAATAATTGAAATGTAAAAAAATAAAGAAAAATTACATGAAAAATAATAAAATTAAAGGAATTAACATTAAAATTCCAAATATAAAATAAAAAAAAACTTGATTTTTAGCAATTCAAAAGAATAAACAACAAAGAGTAAAGATTAAATAGTAAAAATTAAAGAATGAAAACTTCTTAAGATGCATAAATAGTCTCAATTAGACCTAACAATCGGATCACCAAGTTGACCCATGACCCAATCCAATCTATTTTTTTTTTTTCGGGTCGGGTCATTTTCAAAGATAGATAGTTAAATATGAGACCCTAACCCTGTTTTATCGGGTTGGGTTAGATCTGATTCGCGGGTTGGGTCAATGTTTTGCCAGATTTAGTAGTGGAGCAATCATCCACCAAACAGTCCTCGCGAGCCCTACTTTTCATTTAAAGCCTTCAAGGTACGAATATCAACAGGTACTTGGGTTTTTCCTCCATTTATTTGTTTTTGTTCAGGAAATTCCTTTTGTTTTAATTTGTCGATGTTTCAGATATTTGTGTGTTTGATCGATCTTGTTTGACCTAGGGTTTTCGATGATTTGAATCGTAGGAGGTGTTTGACCCGTTAGGGTTTTACTGGAGGTTTTGGTGTCGAAATCCTTGATACTCGAGAAAACTTAGAATGATTCAAATCAGACATCAGTTGAAGAATTGCAGTTTTTTGCCTGTTAGAAATGGAAGATCCATAAATTGTTACTTGAACTATAAAACTGCTAAGTATTCACGAATAAAAAACTTGTTTTCTCCACATGACTAAATACATGCTATAAGATTCTGCCGGCATCGGGGATATTTAACTGGTATGAAATGACTCTTTGATTTTTCAAGCGGAAGATACAAACTGGTCTGGCGGTGATTCGATTCCAGTTCCATGGTCCTTGCATAACTGCTATAACCATTTTCAACTAGAATAGATTTACTTCCCTACCCTTGGTGTTCAAACTTCAAAGAAAAACAGATGAATATATAGATTAAGAGAAAATCTGTTCTGCCGGAAAGACATGATACCGAGAGAGCTTTGACCAATCAACCCCCACCCACCCATGTGAATTTTGATAAATACCACCTGATTGGTTACCACTTATGGATGGCATGTCTGAATTTCTGTTATTATTCCAGTCGGCTGAATTTTTACATGGAAAGTGGGTAAACGGGCAGGGGGTATCCGGAAGACAATAAAAAATTTTAATTATAGCCCCTTCAAGGGAACCTTTCTGCTTGAGTATTTAAAAGAAATAGAAATTAAAACAGGATAAGAAAGAAAATATTGCAAAAAAACTAGGATGATACCTTTTTTCTTTACTTGTGTAGGGATTTCTGAAATTTCATTTTTTCTTCTTTTGGTTTTAGAGCAGGTCAAAATGCACTCTGAGAACAAAACTTGAATCCTTAGGCAAATTCTTAATGCTGAAGTACTTGTGAAAAGATGGGTTTCCTAAATTTGGATAAAAAAAAGCAAGCTAGCCATGGCATTCCACTTATAGAACCCACATTCACGCACATATACTAAGGTGATGAAAGAGGACCCCCTTACACAGTAGGCTACTGTTTTTTTCTTTTTTCTTTTTGGTGGGTGGGTGGGGGTGAGGGTATGGTGGTGACTGGTGTGCTGTCAATAAGCCAATTACAGTGCAAATCTATGACACACAGGGATACTATATTCTCCAAAATCAGCAAAACAAAATGATTATGTGAAAACTGGACAAAATGCTAGGTTTAAAAATGGATTCAAGGATGTAGTTCAATGGCACTGAAGCATAAGATTAGTTACACAAAGAGCTACAAAAACCAGAGGTTAGCCCGACCTTACAAGTCTTAAAAAATAATGAAAAACAAGCCTTGACAATTTTCTTTAACAGAAGGTATGGCCTTAGAGCAGAATAGAGCAACAGAACATGCACTACTAACTAGAAATGCTAATTTCTGACTCAACCCATGTAACCCACTGAACCCACACATTTACTTAGAAGGTTGTATATGAGTTAACAACTCATTTGGTAAAGTGGGTGGAGAATGGGTTGGGCGATAGGTGCCCATTGGCATCCCTCTAAATGCACATATTCTCTCTCCCATAATGTTTCCCAATGGGTGAGTGTAGGTTGGGTTAGAGTGAGTGGGGGTAGGTTACATCTATTTGGGCTCCATGTGGATGGGGGTTAAATAGGTGGGATAAAGAAATCTAAATGACCTAGGAATCTTCAATGCTGCAAATTGGTTGGAGCCCAAAAGTGGAAAATTTCATCCCAAAAGCTCTACATGTGTTCCATATTCTGTTCTTCTCCTATGGCCTATGGGATGGGAATCCCGTATGCCATCTCAGTCTTATGGATCAAGCTTGTGGAAAGAGATCATGAAGCTAAAACAGGATTTTTCCAAAACAGGCTGAAACCTGGGATGGGAGTCCATGCATTATGTTTACCCCAACTTTTATTTTATTTTAATTTTTTGATAAGCAGCAAGAAATAATTCATTAAAGAGCAAAAACCACACTTCTCGAAACAGGGCAGGTGGACTAAAATAGAGCAGCCTAAGAATGAACCAAAAGAGGCCAAAAAGGCCAAAAACAGAAAAAGAAATTCCTCTTATGGATTACAGCCTGGACCTCGGCACCCCCATTCCAAACTATCTTTACCTACCCCCAACCTCACCAGGGAGTCAGCTAGCTTGTTTGCACTCCTGGGTGCCCAAATGAATGAGATGTTCAAGTTGGTACCCAATGAGTGAGCCAATCTCACCAACTCTCTAAATTGCCATGGAATTAATTCCTGAGATTGCATCCACAAAATAACTGTTTGACAGTCCCCTCAACTACTAAGTTTGACAATCCTTGCTCAATTAATAGTTTAAGGCCTTGGATTAAAGCCAACAGCTCTTCCCTTAGAGAATTTCCAAACCCATCTGGCCCTGAAAAGCTAAAAATTATATTGCCAGCTGAATCTGTAACTACTACTCCCAATCCTGAGTTCCCAGCGTTTCCAAGAAAACATTCATCAAAGTTTAATTTACACCTTCCAACATCTGGTGGAGTCCATTCTACCTCTCTTCGTGGTGTCCTATTATTAAAACCAGCAATGATGTTCCACCCTCCTAACATAGTTTTCAAGGCGTCTAGGCGATTTTGGGTGACACTGGGGCGCCTAGATGCCTAGGCAATAAAAACTTTATAATTAAAAAACTGACTTTTGGCTAGTTTCCTAGTTTTATATACCATTCAGCATGTATGTTAATTGAAAAAATAGCAATTCTCTTTATTAAGAACATTAAATTTCCTCTAAAAATGTGGCAAATCATCACATCTAAAAGATAAAAATCTTTTACATATATTAATTTCATTGTTTTCAAAAATAATACTACTATAATAAGTATTTAATAGAGCAAATTCATATTAATTAGCAGCTAAAGAAGGTTAACTTTATATGATAAATATTCAAGAAGGAAAGTAAAATAGAAAAAAAACAAGAGTGGAATTTCTGTTTTATTTAATTAGAGAGAGAATAGAAAAAAGAACTTTATTATTCTATTCTTTCTTTCTTCTTTCTTTTCTTTCTTTCTTTCTTTCTTTTTCTCTTCTCAAAACCCTTTGATCTTTTAAATTTCAATAGTAAAACATTAAAACAAAGTATAATCGATATATATATATATATAATAAAATGTATTAACACATACATTAATAAGATACAGCAATATAAATGATATTATACAAGGTGCCGCCTTGTCATTTTTGTCGCCTAGGCGCCTAGGTGGGCGCCTAGTTGCTAAAAGTCAAGGCATTTGGGCGAGGCGCCTAGGTGACGCCTTGACGACTATGCCTCCTAATAAAATGTTTCCCAACCTTTATCAAATAGCTGAAAACAGAAATATTTCTGTCAAGGATGCTGTTGATTGGGTTGGCACTCAATGGTTGTGGGCACGAAAGTTCAGGCAGAATCTGAATCATTGGGAGGTAGGGATGGCAGGTGAGCTGTTGAGAAGGTTGGAGGATGTCCAGTTAAACACCCAATCAAGGGACACAAGGGTCTGGACCTTGGAGCATTCAGGGTCGTTTTTTGAGAAAAAAGAGTAACTGAATTCATTCAAAAGATAGGAAGTACATGACAAGATGTACAACAAGGAACCTCGAAGGACTCTCTAAGAACTACACAGTAATTGGACTGTCACTATAGAGATAATCCTTGTGAACTCCAGCCTTAGCTAGGCCATCACCTACAGTATTTAGCTCCCTAGGAGTCCAGCACAAGTTTACATTTCATAGAAGATAGCAAATCTCTAGCTTCATCCAGGTAATGGGCTAAGTTCCAGGGGCCGCTGTCAGGTTATTTTAACCCTTTAAAAGTGTTAGTAGAATCTCCTTTGATTGAAGAAACCCAAATCTCTTGCTAGCCAGATGCCAGTGAGAGCAGCTAAAATTTCTGCCTTAGTTGAAGTTGCAACCCCAATTGGTCCACTGAAAGCCCAATAAATGTTGCCATTCCTCCTGAGAACACCTCTAATGCCTGCTTCACTCGGATTGCCAAAGGCACTTCCATCAAAATACAGAGTTATCTCTCCATCTCAACGAGTCTCAAACTATGAGGGGCAGATCAGGAGATGTGATGGGAAAATAAAAACCGAGATTCCTTTAAAATACTCAGAACCGGTGGCCCAAAGAAGCACCTGTGGGGGATAATGGAAATAAGCTTCTCCTGGTTTCTAGTCGTTTTTTTTTTTTTTGATAATTGTTTCTAGTCTGTTCTTAAACACACGGTTATTTCTCTCTTCCCACACTCCATAAAACAGCATGAGCAATAGATTGCCACCAACTCTTTCCTCTTCTGCTAAAGCTCCACAACATGTTCTGGAAAAACCCAGCTATGATCAAACAAATTAAGAAAGAAGTACCAAATTTTCCTGGTTTCCTCAAATTGAAGCAGGAGATGATTAGCTGATTCTCCATCTTTTAAACAAAAACAACAGGCATGCGGTGAGAAGCAGGTTCTTCCAAGATTCCTTATCTGGAGCATTCAGGGTCTTTCTCCACCAACTCTTGTTACAGGGCATTAATAGGTGAGTTCTCCATATTTAAGTGGAACTGGATTTAGCAAGCAAAGGTGCCTACTAAAACCATTTTCATAGTTTGGTCTGCTGGGTGGGATCAAATTCAAACCATGGGTACCCCCCTCCCCCCTAATACACGCACGCACGCATACACACACACACACACACACAAAATCAATGGCTGAGCTCCTCTCTTCTTTCAGCTAAAGGGAAAATCTTATGGGACCAGCTACCTTTTGCAATCTGTTGGAAGGTTTGGAAAGAGAGGAACTAAAGGGTGTTCCAAGGGAGAAGTTCTACTTGTGACTTGTGAGGAGCATGAGCAGAATAGAGTAGGCTTTAATCCAGTGGGCTAGAGTGTTGCATCAATTTTCTGGAGTTTCAGTAGCTAATTTTACCAATGGCTGGAATTCAATTATCCTTTGTGCTGGCTCAGACATTGGTGTGTCCTTTGTGGTCACCTCCAGCCCTAGGGTTTACAAGGTTAAAGTTTGATGGGAGTAGTGAAGGCAACCCAGAAACCTCAGGTGTTGGAGGTGTATTCAGAGATGAGAGTGGGAAGGTGGTTGCATTTGTACTCTGGTCCCATTGGGATGGGTGACGTTCTTAGAGCTGAATTGTTTGCTTTATTGGTAGGTTTAAGGAAGGCAAAGGAGCTGAACATTCGAAAGTTGATTATTGAAGGAGACTCACGGCTATTGTTAAACTGGTTAAGAGTAATGGTAAGAGAACTGCAAATGCCTTGGCTGATAACTTGGCAAAGCAGGGGATGGGAAGGGGTCAATTGTTTTGGGCAATCTTGTAATTTCCTTTTGGGTCTCTGGGGGAGAGTTAAGTCATTTTATCTCTTCCTGGAGTTTTGTATGTAATCTTGTTATCTATTAATAATATAGACTTCTGTTCTGTTATTGATAAAAAAACTTTATGTACGTGATATACGGATACTTTTTTTCAAGTGCGTGATATAGTAATACAATACCAATGCCATTTATCAAGAAGAAAATGATATTATGATTAACTGATGCATATATGAATGAATAGTCTCTCTATTGGCTGCAAAATGTAACTCTGGAAGTCATGCCTTGGTTGAGTATGAAAATGACATTTTGGCTCATGTATTTAAGATTTTCTTCACTTGTACAGCAAAAACAAAATATTTCACAAAAGAATGGCATGATACTGAGTTTATTTTGCCAACCTTATAAATATGTTATCCTCTTAAGTATATATTACCATTCGCTGTCCATTGAAACTGGATATGTCTATGTTTCTGCATCAGTCCGATAATTTTCCAATGGAATCATGTAGTGTAAATTTTGCACGAGGAAGAACAATCATTTTATGGATAACGAAGTACCTGGCAAGGAGGTTTCTCAGGGGCTGGCCCGAGAGTCACTTATTGCTATCTCTCAGTCTATACCAGATAAGATTATTGTCTCGAAGCTCTCCTCTGAAAATTTGAATAGCAGCAATGCAGTTGAAGTGAATGATAGTGACGGAGCTGAAAAGTATAGGTTGAAGCTGATATCAATTTCCTACGTGCAGTCACCAGATATTAAGACCTAACCAGTTGCATTAGGTAACCTTGAGGGTTAGCCAGACAGGAGGTTCTTCACCATGAGAACTTATTGAAATAATAGATCCTCTGTTTTTTTTTGGTTGTTTTTAGAGCTACTAGTAAGTGAATGGTTATGGTAAATGTTCTATTAATGTGGGCATAAACATAGAAATTAAAAGTTAGACTATGTGTAAAGATGTATCATGTTCTTTACAGAGATTTTTCTTGGGGACAATGAAAGGAAATGGATTTTAGTTTTTGTTATCTACTTTACCTGCATGGGTGTTGCTATGTTATTACAACTATGTTTCAATACCATTCCTTCCAGTTCATATAAGGCCATAACTTGGTGTCAAAAACTAAACATGCAATGTAAAAGGGTGGGTATATAACTGAAACATTATTGGAGAGTGGAGATTAAAATTTTCATGGGCTTCTAAATGGGCCATACTTCCCATAAACTCAAATTTGCCCATGGGCCTTAGTGTGGGTCCTTCTATTTGGATGCTGCCCCATACACTTAAATATGTGCATGGGCTTTAACATTTGGGTTTTGCTTTCGCAAATCCATTAGCATGATGGAAAGGCCCATGTGGGACCCACTTTAAAGTCAAATTCAAATTCAAATTTGAATTCAAATGTGATCACAAGTCTTAGTAGTTTATGGAAATAATCCAATTGCAGCCCATCTCAAGTCCTAAAAATGGAAATCTAGTCAATGATTGAAGAGAGAATAATTGATTGAAAACCATTCTCTCCATAAATGGCATATTGTCAACCTTCTTTATAAAAAGTAACTAAAGTTGATCAAATCTCTACTCGACTAAGGCACATCTTCTCATAGATGGAAAATAGTCAATGATTGAAGAGAGAATAATGGATGATAAGTTATTATCTCTAATTATAACCTTTACTCTCTAAAAGGGGTAAGAAGAACTAATCAAATCCTCAATCAAGGGGAGGAAGAGGTTAAATCAAGAAATCTATAATAGGGGTTCCCATCAAGAGGGAAGGGACTTTTGGAGACAAAGAGAAACTGACTGAAGTAAGAATGCTCTTAGAGAAGGAGAAACTATATATACTACTTTCTGAAGAGATAAGCTACAACTCTTAGAGTTCTTGCAGAATCCTTATTTTGATCAAGCTTTCAGAGCCCAATTGAAGGAGCAATCTCCACCATTCTTTGGAGTATGAGAGCACGTTATCCAACCCTCGGCTTCAACTCAAATACAAATATTCAAATTGCAAGAAGTACTTTATCAAGAGAGAATAAGAGATTTTATCTCTTTTGTAAGAGAGCTTCAAATACAAAGAATTTATATCCCATTTACTTTAAAAATGAGAAATCGATTTATTTGAAATTTGTGTTCATTTTTCTTGTATTTGGATTAATACACGAAGTTTGTGTTGAAAATTACATATGGAAAAAATTTCTTCCACAGACTGATATGAAATGATATGGTAGAAAGCATTAGTACTTAGAATTAAGGCTAGTCTGGACTAGAAATAGGATTAAATATGTGCTTTACATTCTGGTTAGAATGGATTTAAGATGTGCATATTTTTTGAGAATACAGAGTATGCCTAATCTTCTGCTTATTCCATGGAGTTCAGATCGATTCCCCACTGCACCGCACCACGTGCCCCGCATGCACAATTCAGTATGCATTGGGAAGATCTCCCAAATGCACGGTTGGAATGTGATGTGGGGCATGCTCTGTGGGTAGCCCATGCAAATTCTATTCCGTCGATGTTGGTGGAAGTAATTTTGCACATTTCCCCCTCAAATATTTATGGTTAGTGATCTTGGAGGTTGTCATTCTTTGGTTTTGGAAGTAATCTAATTAGTTAGAAATAATATCATCATGTGAGAATTCATTCTGAAGGCACACGAGTAGCTGGGCAAGTGTTGCCAATAGTTTGTATTGGCTCCAGATTTGCTACAAATAAGGTGTCTACAAATTGGTAATTGAGTGGATGCAATCAGGGAAGTTGGGAATTTGGTAGTATAGACAATTGATAAGGAAAATACTTAGCATAAAAAGGGAAGTGGGTGTTTGTTTCAAGTGGGTAAGGAGATCGATAAATGGTTTTGCTGACGCCCTAGCAAAACAAGAGACCATAAGGGAGAGACTTTACTGGGCAGTGCTATAATGTTTGATGTTTTTTGGATCAACCTTTTCTAATAAGGGTTGACTTCTTTATTTCAGTTTAATTTATCTCTAACGAAAGTTATTATTTCTGACAAAAAAAAAAAGGTGTCTAGAAGGGGCTACTTATCCCAGTAGCCAAATCTGAATCATCCAGAATATAGTTAAAAGCAATGCTTTGCTCAAGAACAAGGTTGAACCAAGGTTAAACTATGAATTACTCAAACCAGTTATTTGGTTCCTTCCTAGTTTTCATATTTTGAGTGTATCTATTAATGATGCCATAACTATTCAAACCATGATCAGGGGACCTTTGTGGTTTGATGCCTGGTCTAGTTTTCAAAGTATTGGTGAATTTGAAAAAAGGCTTATTGATTTTAGAAGCTTGATAGTATTGAATCATTGTACGATAGTGTTATGGTTTAGCCAATTCATCTTGATCTGTCATACTTCTTGTAAGTTAATATCTCAAGTTTGTATTGGGGAGGTGCATCTAGCCTTTCTCAAATGGCAAACATGAGATGTGGTCTATAGCTTCCGAGATACTTTCAAGGCTACTCAGTCCTTGCACAGTTCATTGTAGAGGGGAAAATGAAAAAAGTTCTTTTCTTCTCCATCTCTATTATGTTTGAGAAATGTATGGCTGATAGTCCAAGAAGAGAATCTCAATATTACAGGCCCGACACAGTTAATTGTACATTGAAAAGATGTGCTTTTTTGCTCCATCTCTTTTGTGTTTGAGAAAAAGGTATGGCTAATGATTTAGAAAGAGAATCTCAATGTATGGATGCTTAGATTATGAGATCAGGTTAGATTTTGGCATGGGACTAGGAGATCACTAAGTGGGAGACCCATTCAAATGGTGGGGTCCAACTTCCAACGTAATGAGTGTTACAGATGAATGAAACTGTCCTTCCATCTTAGTTGTATACTTGTATATTCTGGAAAATCTACGAGGATGATGTTGAATTGAGCCTACATTTTGTCTTGCTTCAGGTGTTTCCTTTCATTGAAGAGTGGAGACAGACCAAACTACAACTTTGATACATTATAGCTCTGTGATTTCTTGGCTTTCATTGAGGAGTGGAGACGGACCAAACTACAACTTTGATACATTTTCTCTGTGATTTCTTGGTTGGATCTTCAGTAGAGATGGCACAGCGGGTTGAATTTTCAGAATCCAAACTCTATTCGTACATGAAAATGCAAAACCCTCCTCGACCCTATCCTTTCCACATGTAAGAATGGGGCAGATTGGGTTTAGAACTTTATGGGATGTGGGTTCTAAACCCTTTCCACATTTAAGAGTGGGGCAGGTTGGGTTTAGAACCCACATCCAATAAAATTAACAACATTTAAATTTGCAAAAATTAATAAATTTATTAAACTTGATAAAAGTTTCTTGTTATATGTAAATCAATAAACAACCAAACTAACATAAATAAATATCAAAATTTTCAATAACTGAAATGATTTCATAATATCATTCTAAATCATTTACAAAATTTTCAACAACTGAAATGATTTTTAATGAGTAATATCATTTTAAATCATTCACATAACAACATCAAAATTTTCAATAACCGACATGATTTCCAATGGAAAGAAAGGAGGAGAGAAACCTATGAGCATAGCATAGGGTCAGGAAGGGTTGGGTATTTTAGTAAATATAAATATTAGGGGCATTTTAGTGATTTTAATGCATGGATTGGGTTTAGCTAAAACCCGTACCCCTACGGGTTGTAAAACCCCAAAACTCGTTCCTGACCCAAAACCCATTTTCCAACCAAAAAAAACCCATCCATCGGGTGGAAATTGCCATCCCTAATCTCCACTTTCTCTCTTTTTAGTTTCACTTTCGGATAGCAAGTGCTGTGATGAGCTGCTTGGATACATGTTGCCACTTGTCGCATGTCATAAGATGTATTGAATCTGGATCCGTTTTGTCATCTTCCATGAACAGCTCTTATTACAACTGTCAATGAAGTTTCATCATGTTCATTGTCCTAATTGGAAAGGTTTCTAATTCCTATAACTATAGGTGCATGTTTTCTAAAAACGTTTTGTTACAGTGATATGATAGAACAATCCATGTTCTATAAAGAAAACATTGTTTTAGAATCGGGATTCTTATAACACTTCTGTACTCTCTGATGATGCTACTCATGCAGCCATGGAAATGAGTATAGTTCATTTCAAGTCTGAAACTTTCAAAATTTCAAGATCAAAGAAAAAAGAGTAAAATTCCATCCACATCAAAGTTTTATTGGGAGCTGATATCTTGACTCCTGTCATGCCCCACTGAGAGATTTGCTGTTTATTTGATAGCGATGTTAATGAATTGGGTGCCCGTGGGTATGATAAAAGGCACCGTGGGCCACATTGAAAACAACTGTTCTAATCCCAGAATACTTTATCTAGAAGTGGTCCACCTGTTAATTATACAACATACATTTTATTCCAATGACTCCTTCTTCCCGAGCTTACTCTTCTGAACTTCCATTCAGTGTACCATTGAAGATTCTGAATTATCACATTTTACTACAGATTTGTTATTCTGAATGTTTCCAACTTCTACCTCTGAACAGTCTTGGTGAAATGATCCCTCTTCTGCATATCCTATTTCAAAATGTAGACTAATTCATCCCCTTCCTACTTGAATTATACAAAACAATGATCATTAAATGGCACAACCGTTACTCTGATTTGACTAGTTAGATTATTGGCATGTGAACCTTCTATAAGTGTGGTTGTTTGAGAATCAAATCCATAGGGTTGATTGGTGTCTGCCATCTAGAGCTGTAGGTTTGATTAGAAATGACTTTGGCTTAATAATTATGCTTGCTTTTAGCTCAAGGTTGGCCCTATCCCAGCTGGTCAGACCAACCTGACACAAATGAGAGATTCCTGGTTTCATGTGATATACTGGAGTAACAAACAAAGTAGTTGCCAATCAGCTTGTTTGTGGGACTCAATTTGCAATATCAGGGCTTTTTGACATGGATCCTTTCTATCTTGTCATGTTGATTTGATACGAGCAAAATCATTTGAAGTTTTGTTGAGGATTACATGATCAACTTTGGGCAATTGATCACTCAATTGGTAATGGGTTTT